AGTTCATGAGGGTTCTGAACAGATGCTCCGTAGGCCCACTGGACCACTGCTGAGTATATGTTCTTGGGCAAGCAGAACTTGAGATTGTTGAAGTACAGCCTGTCTTTAAGGGTTGCCCCTTTCTGTTTCCAGCTTGTGGTTTTTTTTTTCCTTTCCAGGGTCAGTAGCTGCTTGTTATTCCTTCGGGAGCTTGATGTCTGTGGGTAGGATCTTACATGGTGAATATGGGAGTTTCTTCAGCAGACACTTTTCTGTCCACTTCCCTTAGTGCACTTACAACTTCTTGAACAACTTGGTCAGCCAGAGAGTTGCCACATGCTTCCTCTGAGTTCAGTCTTCCTTCAGAGATCTTGCATGCTGTGATGGGAGCCTATAGCTCAGCTTCTTGTGCAGACATTGTTGAGGTGAGATACTTGGTCCACTGTAGTGACAGCAAATCCGGAACAGATCATAAGGAAAAGGCTAAAAAAAATAATAGTCAGTGTCTTATCATTTCCCCCCCTGGGAAGTGGCAGAAGAGTGGCCAGGTAAATAGAGTATCATCCCTGCAGGGTGACACTATCCTGCACAGAATTCGTCCATCACAAGGAGAGGTGGGATATTGCATGGAAAGTCTCAGGGAACCAGGGCACCATTCAACACCAGAGCCTTAACCTGTTAGGGAATAGTAAGAGCTTGGACAGGCTTTGGGGCCTGTATAATTCAGGTAAAGGTATTGGGGGAACTAGCTAGGACCCTTGCCTCTTGGTCAGGTTTCACTGTGTGGAACAAAAGAAATAATAAGGTGATAGGGGCCTGCAAGTGGGGAAAGGACATCTGCACCTAGCAGATTAATTGGACAGGTGAAGGTAACCACAAAGCAAGGCTTAGTTAACAGGCTACTCCAAGGAGAGCCATCTACACTTATGCAGGAGACAACAATGTTAGACAGGAATGAGGAGTCAGGCAGGCCTTGCTTGCTACAAATAGATGTCATGTGGCCTGCTATACAAGGCCGCATATAGCCGCTGGTTATGGGCCTTATTATGTACTAAAACCTAAGTCAGAAGAAAATTTGGGACAACCTGAAGTGATACTTCTCCACAGAGGCTAACTCATCGTTGATGACATTGTTAATACAGGTAGCCTGATCAGCCAATTTATCTGTAACTTAAACAAGTCACACCATGTAGTGGAATGGGTCATTAGGATTCAGGCAATTCTACAGTAAAAGGGCATAGTAAGGATGGACGTGATGTTACTTTTGGAGTAGGCGTGGCTGTGGATAGTGGGAAATCAGCCTTATCCATTCCCATATATTATTCCTTTTGTCTTCAGTATATCCAAACCATGTGTATGTCCAGGCGTTGCAATATACAGTAATCCATTATCAGTCATGATATTAAAATCTCATTCTCATGAATTAAATCAAAGATTTTAAATCAACCTCAGAAGCAACAAAGAATAAATCTATTGTTTTTTCCTTCTGTAAAATGATTGGAGTTACTGTATAATAGCATACAACCAATATAACATACATAAAAACAATGAAAAAAAACTAACAAAAACAATAAAAAACAGTACAGACTAATAAGTTAGTAAACAAACAAACACATATCTCTATTCTTGTGCTGGTTTTAACTCTAGAATCAAATATCTGCAAGATCTTAAATAATTTGCACCAAACACAAATAACTTTAGTTATATTCTGCCGTTGAGGCAATTGGGGGTGGCTCAGGCATCTGTATTGCTCTTTCACACTGAGTTCTAAGGAGGAAAAGGAGGGGGGTCAAATCTGCACTTCTCTCTCTGCGTCTAACAAGTCAGTGTAACCCCTTCATGCCTGGATACCTCTTTACTTTATCTAAGAATAAAGCAACTTCCTTCAAAGTATTCAATTACAATTGCAGTTGAATCTAGATCTTGACATTTTTTCACAAATTCATTAATTAACTGATCCTCAGGAAAATTACTAACAAGTCTATATGCATTTGAGTCGGCAGCCATGTTTGAAATAGTCTATTCCTTTGTTCGTCATTTAGGCTATATTTGTCCAAATTTGACTCAAATATTTCAGCATTAGTAAATGCATCCACTGACATGTCATAAACTGGAATACATTTCACAATTTTCATTAATTGTTAATGGATTTTCAAATTAAGTTTCACAGCTCTGTTACTTTGTTACACTGGTCATTTAAATCTGATTTGTCTTCTGTTAACATATTCAAATTTATTTCTTTATCTGCTGATTCTAAATTTTCTTGACCTGCATCTCGTTTACAAATCAATGCATTGTAAGTACAGACTAGTTTCATAACATTTCTGATCTTTGTTTTTTTTTGTTTTTTTTCAACAGCTAATGGCCAGTTAATGGCCAGCAGCTGGAAGATTTCCCTTACATTCCTCATCCCCCCCTGTAGCCAATACTCATAGCAGTCAGAGCAAGAGAAAGCAACCAAGAAGGAGGGGAGGGGGGGGAGAAGACTTGCAAGCACAACGTTTATTAACCATGTGATTGCCTAAGCACAGCTCTCCTTAGGACAAAAGATAGAATAGGAGAGTGACGATACAGATTGTATAGATTACAATTAACATATATGGTACCCAACAAGACATTTACATGCAAAAGCACAATATACATGCCAAAGCACAATATACAGATGCAATTAAACCACAAAGTCCTAATAATCAACTCAGATCACACACACAGAAACACTCAAGCACATATACAACAACTTAACTCTTTGTTTGTTCGTTTTTTTTTTTTATTATTATTTCAACAAACAAATACGCCAGGATATCGTCTATCCTGATCTAAAATAATCCTCCAGGAAATTTACTATCCTGATCCAGAAAAAAAAAAAAAAAAATGAAAAATTAAAATATTATTATTTTATTAAACTAAAATTAATTACGCCAGCTTTTTTATCCAAACTGAACTCAAAAACAACAAAAGAACCGCCACGATCTAATTTTAATTTAAATCGGACAAAAAAACAAAAAAACGCCAGGGGCTATTATGCACACCTGAACTCAATAATCGCCAGACTCTCAACCGAGTCTTAATAAAACAAAGGAACCGCCAGGTTTTTTTTTACCAAAACGAGGCCAAACCATAACTCGCCAGCTTTTTAATATAATCCGGCCTGAATCGCCAGGTTTTTGCACCCTGAACTTAAAAGAAAAACAACAAAAGAAACGCCTAGATTTAATATTAAAATATTAATATAATCCGGCCTAAATCTCCAGGTTTTTGCACCCTGAACTCAATCGCCAGGTTTTTTCTATGAACCCGACCTCAATAATCAAAAGAAAGTAAAACAGATTCTCAAACAGACACTTTCACACATAAAACTCACACTCAGGACTCAGGCTGTAGATAGACAAGTGACAGGTTCTATATAAAAGGGGACATTCGGGCATATATATATATTACCTATCTGAAGACGTTAACCACAGGAAGCCGAGTGAAGGAACGGAGTGCAGACCAATTCCAAAGACGGGAAAATATAGGTAAGTTACTCATTTACCACATGCAGAGGTGATCAGGCTCTTTTTTTCCAATCTCTCGGGGTCTCCTCTCCGGTCCTGGGATTTTACGGCTTCCTTAGTAACATAACCCTTTTGTCCCTGTTCGAAATTGCGCCAACTGATTTGGATCAAAGAAAACTTTGATAATTTGTCTATCTACACCTTCCAAATTGATTAATTAATGCGTGCACGCTTTCCCTAAAAGTAATTCACACCAGAGACAAAGTTTTTGATCAGTGAAAAACCAAGGAATGCTTTATTCCCTGGAGTGGGAGTTCCTTTTAAAGCAGAAATACGTCATGTACAGAGTCACAGTTAAACATACAATATACATTCAACAATTGGTTAACAGTCTAAGGGGTCTTGTCTAAACCCCCCCTACAGGATGTAGTGTCGTCATTACAGACTTTTCCCACCTATATTGGATACACGATGGGAGGGGGAGGGAGTAGTTTCTTTAACAGTGATTCTCTATTTTGTTAGCTGTTACTTTGCACAAAGGAAGTGGGGGAGGAGTTAGTAAAGGAAGCTGTTAACACAGGAATTTTGGTTACAGGAAGCTTGCTCTGATGGGAAGGGGGATGCTAGCAGGATGCGAGGAATTTACAGAGATAAAATAGTGCCTGAACACATTGTAGGGGGGGAGGGAATATTTACTCTAGCAGCCAGTTTTAACATAGTGAACACAGAATAAATAGACATTAGTAAATAGCCATTTTATTTTAATTCATCTGTCCATAACACTATGACCACTTCAGTGATTTGTTGCTACTCTTCTGGTAGTGGCTAAGTAAAATAAGTGCTGAGTGAGAGTTCCTTCTCAAAATTGAACTCACACTGATTAATAACACTTAAACCCCCATGGTTTCCATTACAGTGCATTGAATTTCAGGCTGATTGTAATAGTTTATGCAGTCGAATTCTACCTTGTATTATAATTCAAGCTGATTGAACATTGACCCCACATACATTGTGACTGATGTGTAAAGGATAATTACCAGTTAACTAGGATGTGTTTAACTTTTAACTTTTTAAGTCCATTATGCAGGTCAAAATGAAATAAAGATGATGGGAATGGATAGAACCTCTTTCTGCAGTATTCAAGGGCACTTGATAAAAAGATTGTATGACAAATGTGTAATTGCTGAATTGCAGTATCCGATTTGGCATGTTCACATTTAATATGTTTGTATTTCTTGAGGAATCACTTCCATCAGCACTTGTAGTTTTACAGTCAAGTAATCTAGCAAAAAAAAAAAAAATAGAAATAAAAAGAACACTAGTTATGTTTATCTTGCTTGTGCTTAAGGATCACTAAAGATAGAAACATAGAATGTAACAGCAGATAAGATTTGGCCCAATTTTCTAAATACTTTCATTAGTCCCTGGACTTATCTTATATCTAGGATAGCCTTATGCCTGTCCCACACATGCTTAAACGCATTTACTTCTGCCAGAAGGCTATTCTATACCCTTTCAGTAAAGTATTACTTGCTGATATTATTTTTAAACCGTTGCCCCTCTAATTTAAGACTCTAATTCTGGAAGTTTTTTTTTCTTTTAAATACAGATGGTCCTTGTTTTGCGACAGCTTGCACTTACGACCAGCTCTCTCATGCAACCACTTACCACCCCATGAGTGAGAGAGCTGGTCGTAAGTGCAAGATGAAGTTCGTCTCTGTTTGGGGCAATATCCCTGATAGACTTGCAGGGAATCCCTCAATCTATATTCAGGGAAATTTCCAGACAGCCAGGCATAGTGGCCCAGATGTGCCCAACAGGGGATTTGGTACTATCAATGTACCTACTGCACCTCCCTTGTCAACAGAGATTCAACCTCAGTATCTGGAAGTAAAGGAGGTATTCATTAAAGTACAGTCATAGACTTTACCACCTCATCGGTCTTATGACTGTTCTATTGATCTTCTACCCAGAACCATGCCTCCCAAAGGAGGAGTATATGCACTATCTCTCCAAGAAACAATCTGTTTGGAGGAATACATAAAAGACTCTCTGAGGAAAGGGAACATACGGATATCCTCCTCTCCTGCTGGGTCTGAGTTTGTCTTTGTCTCTAAAAAAGAGGGAGACCTACATTGATTATAGAGGTCTCAATAAAATAACTATCAAGAATGCTTACCCCATTCACCTTATTTCTGAACTATTTGAAAGGCTCAAAGGTGCCAGAGTGTTCACCAAACTCGACCTTAAGAGAACATATAATTTAGTCATAATTAAGGATGGGCATGAGTGGAAGACAGCATTCAATACCAGTATGGGACATTATGAGTATCTGGTTATGCCGTTTGGTTTGTGCAATGCTCCAGCGATATTTCAAGACCTGATTAATGATGTCCTAAGAGAATACCTCCACACGTTCGTGTTGGTGTACTGGGATAACATTCTCCTCTACTCTCCAGATCTGCGTACCTATCATGAACATGTGAAAACTGTGCTTAAAACCCTGCTAAAAATTGGCCTATACTGTCAGTTAGAAAGGTGCCAATTTGCTCAAACCGAAGTACAGTTCCTGGAAAATGTAATCTCCCCCTCTGGTTTTAAGATGGACCCACGCAAAGTAGAAGCAGTGTTACAGTGGCCATTACCCAAGGGTCTTAAAGCCGTCCAATGCTTTATTGGATTTGCAAATTATTATCGCAAGTTCATCAAAGGCGTCTCATCTGAAATTGCTCCTATCACCAACCTTACCCGAAAAGGAGCAAATAGTAATTCATAGGAAGGAAGCAATAGAGGAATTTGAAAAAGTAACCACAAGGTTACTGCAGAAGTAACCAGAAGGATGTAAAGGGGTATCCTGACTCTCTGGGAAAGAACAGCCCCGACCCCTGTCTTGGAGGCATCAACCTCCAGTATGAAAGCCTTGCTAGTATCAGAATGTATCAATATGTCTGTGGAAGCAAATAATTTTTTGAGATGTTCAAAAGCCTCTTTGGCTTCTTTGGACTATATATTGTAATTAGCCCCTTAGCGTGTCATATTGGTGATAGGGGCTATTACTGAAGAGAACCCTTTTATGAATCACCTGTAGTAATTGGAGAAACCAATGAACCTTTGAATGGCTTTTAACCCGTTGGATAATG